AGATGTTGTACTCACTCATGATCACATAACTAGTAAGTGTTCAAATTAGGCTTGGAATCAAGGTCTTTTCTTCCAAGTGGCCCCTTTCAGCTCTAATACTTCAAGATTTATCTTCATTATCTATGATCCTGTGTGTCTGAACTTTTGACATTAAAGAGTAAGAAACACATACACACATAGAATATGAGCGATCCCATATATAAGTTTATAAGCCAATCTGAGAGAACACGTTTACTACATATGCCTTCTTTTCTCTTCCAATACTTCCACTACCATAGAACAAGCCCTTATTAATTCACATCTAGACTATTGAAATAGTCTATTGATTGGGTTTCTTACCTCAAAGTCTCTCCTCACTGTGGTCCATCCTCCACTCAACTGTCAGATTTGTCTACTTAAAGTACAAGTCTGACCACATCACCCTCCTATTCAATAAACTTCAGTGGTTCCTTATTGCTTCCAGGATCAGATACAAAATCCTCTGCTTGACTTTGAAAGCCCTTCATCACCTGTTCCCTTCCTACCTTTCCAGTTTAGTAACAATGGCCTCCTTTCTGTCCCTTCCATATCTCACTGCCGCTCCCTCGTGTCTGGAATTCTCTCTCTCCTCATCTAAGCCTCCTGTCTTGTTTAGCTTCCTTCAAGTCCCAGCTAAAATCTCACTTTCTACAAGAAGCCTTTCCCAATCCCCCTTGAGGCCAGTAGGTCCCTCCTGGATTATCTCCTATTCATCCTGTATGTATTCTTGTTTGCGCATAGATGTTTGTATGTGACAGCTCCCATTACTGTGAGCTCTTTGAGAACAGGGGCTAAGTTGGTATAAGAGATAAAATGCCTTCAGTTTTTTTGGGGGATTATTTTATACTTTTGTTCTTGTTATATCTTCTCAATAGATATCCCTGTATAAAAGCTAATTGATTTTAATTGGTGGTGCTAATCACTGGGTCAGTCAATGATGCAAGGAAAAGTTCTTTTTTGGATATGTTGATTTTGAGGGGCTATTGAGATTCCAGTTTGAGATGTCCAATGGCACTTGGAAACAAATAATGCCGGGGGCTGCTAGGTGGCGCAGTAGATAGAGCACCGGCCCTGAAGTCAGGAGGACCTGAGTTCAAATCTGGCTTCAGACCAAACACTTGACACTTACTAGCTATGTGACCCTGGGTAAGTTACTTAACCCTAACTGAAAAAAAAATTTAATGATTCTAGCTCAAGACAAAGACTGGACTGAATGTACAGGCTTAGAATGAAATGATTTTAATTCCATTTCTTATTCTAACATGTATTCTCTTTGTAACCAAGAGAAAAATCATTCAATCTATCTGAGCCCCATGAAAGTGCTAACATATTTAGCACCTACTTTACTCAAGGTGCTTCAAAAATATAGCATATGGTCACTGCTTACAACTTGATTACAAACTAGTTAGGTAGAGAAAACACATATGAAGAAATAGCAAATAATATAAAGAAATATATGACAAGTACCTCATGAGTTATAAAAATAATATATGCTGTCAGAGTTCAAAAGAGGAGAAGCACACTTTGGGGTGGTCTAAACCAAAAGCCTGGCTGAGATTTTTCTCATAAATGACCATTAGAGACATGTCTTGGCGAGGAGTTCCTTGGCCTTTGAAATTAGGTTACCATAGCCAGTCTTGCCAGAGGAACATTGAATACCTTCCATTCCAGCTGGTTTCAATAGCCTCTATAATTGTTTCTACTCTATGAAGAAAAAATTGCCCATCTGGGACTAGAATTCTTGCCAAACTTCATGGATTCCAACTGGCCTGAAGGAGGGATGTTTTGGTGGTCTGGCCCAACTCACAATCAAAGCACAATTTGTTGCTACTCCAGAGGGGACTGGAAATTTTTTTTAGTACTTCCCAAAAGAAATGGTAATGAGGACCAGGACCTGAGCTGACAGAGATTAGCAGTATTTCTGGAGATCTGGAAGCCCTTAATCTCCAAATTCTTATGATTAAAACCCCCCCAACATATTATTGAGAGAAGTTGTCTTCAAATATAGTGACATAAATTCAGTGGTGGGAATAATAAAAAACACATGTGAATGTTGTCTCAGGACATTCTGAATTGGCAGTATCTTAACCAAAGAATACAGATAGCTTAATATCTATTCATTCAATTATTCAGCAAAGATTTAATAGCCAGTTTGTACATGCAAAACACCATACTAGTTGTGACAGTCAATATAAATTTGAATAAGACACAGTCCCTGGCCACATGGAGTTTATAAGCTAATAGGGGAACTCGGACATGAATACCAATAACTACAATGTGGTAAATACCATAAAAAGAGTACAAAGAAAATAGAGTAGCAGTCCAGAGAAAGGAGAGGTCACTTCCAACTTGGGGTAGGGGATCAATAAAGGATTATGAGAATTTTTAATTAGGTTTTCAAGAATAGAGAGGATTTCAATAGGTGTTCATTGTGAGGAGGAAATTTCGGGAGAGGGGAAGAGCATGAGCAAAGATGTTGAAGCAGGAAATTACAAAGCATATCTGGGGAACAAAGAGTAGTCCATTTGGGTGCTATGTTGATTATGTTAGGAGCAAAAATAGAGATAAATTTGAACTTAGGTCAGATTATGTGGCGATCCCTGGATGCTAAGCTAAGGAATTTGGGCCTTTGTTATTGATCCAATGATGGCTTAAAGATGCTTCAGAGGTCATCTTATACAACATTCTCATTTTACAGTTGGGGAAGCTGAGGTCCAGGAAGTTTTGATGGCTGTGGTCAGAACTGTGCTTTAAAAAAGATGAATATACGTAGGTGTACAGGTTGTGTTCCCTGGCTTGGTTACAAACTCCTTAAGGTAGAGACTATTTCACTTTTGTCTTTGTTATCTCTAGAACCTGGCACATAGTAAGTGCTTAATAAATGCTAATTGATTTTCTGGTAGTTCATTTGTATTTGAAAGAGGTTGTACACTAAATAGGAACCAGTTTTCTTTGAATATGCTAGGCAAATCTTCACATGAACAAGTGTTGACACAAGAGAAAGAGCAGAATGGAAAAGAGAACTCTCTGCCATGTTTGTCTCTATGTTAACTCTTCTGAAGGACATCCTGGACTGAAAAACTCCTTCATTGTAATGTCATCTTAATCTAATGTCTCAAGAACCTGTCATTTCATTTGGGGGGGTGCGTCCAACACTGATGAAGGTCACACCTCTACGTCTCAGTCAGATTTTCAAAAAATTTGTTGGGGGTAAAACCAAACCAAACCAAAACATCACCTGGTGGTCTGTTGGTTGATGAGACTCTTTGAACTAGGCTAGTGCATCCTCAGGTGTAAAGCATGTCTCCTGTTGTGTTCATAATGGAAGCCTTTTCAAGTTGGTAGGATCTGTCAGATCTTCACATCTACTGGTTTGGCCTTTGAGAACCCAGGATTGCCCCTACACCACAATGTCCTGTCAGAGGAAGGCTCTTGAAGGCTCTTTAGTGCTATTTTTAGTTATTCAATTAATTTCCAACATCTAGTAAGTCCCTACTATGTGCAAGGCACTGTACAATTAAGATTTATTAATTTTGAAGGAAAAGTGTTAAAAAACAAAAAAAGTCCTCAGCCTGTACTGATGAAAGGGAGAAAAAAAGGCAGGTATGAAGAAAGGTGAAACTAAGGATAGGTGAGAAAACAGTTACCCATGGTACAATATTTGGTAGAATACGATGAGCAACGTCCTAACTAGGAATCTTTTCACGTGGGGCAAATTCATTTGAGCAAGAAGTACAGGGATGTGAAAGCAGTAGTGTAAAAGACAATCTAATTCCAAAGGTAGCCATGCTGGTAGGGTGATTCCTTGAGCAGGTCTGGCAAACTTCACTTGGAGTTTGGTGAGAGTCTTCAGGGGAGGCTTATAATAGTGATAGCATCTGGGGCCAGGATAAGAAAAGGGGCAGTGGTTGCTGTGATACAGAAGTGAGGTCCCTACAGATGTTGGTACCCTGGGACAGAGGGTCTGTCAATGAGGGACATTTTACTATTTTTAATATTGCTTATTACAAATGTACAACTTTTAATGCCAAAAATTTTTGTTCTCCAAGACATAGGTTATTTTCTAATAAGTCAAGTCATATTATAACATACAGGGGGCATTCCTTTCAATCTCACATAGGGAGCACAAATGCCCTGTCCCAGTTCTGGATGTGAATATGTCCACCTCATATGACTCAAATGTAGAAGACATTTGATGTTCACTGACTTTATCTCTAAACTCAGGACAGAAATATAATGCACATTCAAAATCATTTTTGACCCCCCTGCAGTACCTTGAACATAATATATACAAGTAAATATTTGTTAAATATATGCATAAATGGAAAAATGTAGAAAGTACTTGATTACCAGAAATTCAACTTAGTGCAAATCTGCACATATATAAGGCAGGGTGCAAAATAGGTTACACAGTCAGTTTATTTCATGAGATGCTCAGATACCCAAGATATTAGCTCAGGGCCTCAGGTGGCTTCTCTTTGCCCTGCATAGCCTTCTACAGGGAATCCTCTATTTCCTCATGATCCCATATACCTTCCCCCTGTCCTGCATAGGCCCTTTCTAGGGACTTCTTAGATCAGTGTCTTAAACTGTATACAATTATTTACCATATTGCCCTGTTTTATTGATTTGCGTACATTTCAGAAAACTTTATAAAGTAGGATGTACAGATATATCGTTCACATTTGATTAAATATAGAACCATTATCATTCTGATTAAAAGTTGGGCAAGTGGACCCTTGGTCATCTCAGCTCCTATGACTTCCAAGCTACATTGATCTACTTAATAGAGGTTGGATTTTGCTATAATATAACATTTATTATGTTCCTTTGGAAACATGTATTTGACTCAGATTTTCATCTCCCAGTCCCTTTTCTAGGAAATGTAAAGCGCCCTAAGTCAGAGGCCTATCTTTACTGGACATATTTTCTAGTCAAGGAACATATTTAGATACTGCCACACAATTTAAAAAAAATACACATTTACATGATAAAAAAAAACTTCCAAAGAGTTTAATGTAGATATTTATACATATCCTTTATAAGTAGCAATATGGCAGACAGTTGAATTAGTACATAAAGTTTTATTTAAAGTTTTCCCCTTACAAGCAAGCGTCATTTACACATTCTAATACTGTACAAAATTTACATTCTCTGTGACTTACTCAGTTATATCACTTTTTCCTTGGTCATGCCTTCCTGAAAGACAGAAAGTTTTACATACAGTTCTCATAAATGCTAAAATTTATCTCAGTTGAAAAAAAAAAATAAGACAAAGAACCAGTCAAAGGACGACAAGAATCCTTTTAAAAGCCTAAATTGTACATTTCAGAGGGAGCAGGTGACAGCTCACCATAAAAGACCCCGAGGCCAACCTTCTTCTCATCAGAGTATCAGCTTAGGTTCTTGAATGGAACACTGTAACTAGTTACTCTCTCTCTCTCTCTCTCCTCTCTCTCTCTCTCTCTCTCTCTCTCTCTCTCTCTCTCTTTCTCTCTCTCTCTCTCTCTCTCTCTCTCTCTCTCTCTCTCTCTCTATATGTACTTTCAAGGGAAAAAATGAAAGTTGATTGCACTGGATATCTTTTTACAAGGGATCCTTTGGATCTGAACATACAAATAAATACAAAAACAATTACGATTGCACTTTACTGTAGGAACAGTTTCAGATTGGAGCACCTTCTCTCCATCCTTCCATGTTCCTCACTAAGAGAGTCTTACCAAGGCATTCCCACTTGTGGCCTCATACTGCTTTTAAAGGATCCATTTACCAAAAGATCCAACCATTTCATTATCTTTTTATATCTTTGCCTTACTTTTTACTGGTGTTTTATTAGACTCCTAAAAGCTTGAAAATAAAATTTCTCTTCTTGCCAATTCTGCCCCTTCTGATTCGACAAATGTAAACTCTCTCACTCCTGCTCCCTCCCCTCGACAATTCCTGCTGCTGCTGCGACTGTCAAGAGAACAATTTAATTTTTTGTCTCTGTGTGTAAGCATTACCAACGAGAGCAATAAAGATGTGCCCAGTTTGGCAAATAATGGTGGTAAATCATGTGCTGTCCCCCAGCCAGCTGAGGGCGGGGAGAGGCCCAATGCCTTGTTGAGGACTAAGATAAAATAAATGGAAGTTGCTGTGATTCTTTAAAATCATTTAAAATTTCATGTTTCTCAGCAGTAGAGAAACAAGTAAGATTGTACTTTACAGAAAGTATGCTACCTCCTGGTCTCTGGGTTGCAGAGAGCAATCTGGGCTGATTTTTCCCATGGGTCAAAATTTGAGTCAGATCCTCTCTGAATCCATGATAACCAAATTTACTGGCCCTGGCCTTTGAAGCAAATGACAGGTGTGTTCACTACTTATGCGGTCCTGAAAAATGGAGAGTACAATTCTCAGGGAATTGACTGCAGCAGCAGCCTATGCTCAATTCCTATCTTTAGGGACTCTGAGTAGTTTATGACAACAAAGGGCAATAACTACTGGTCTCTAACAGAGTTCCTACCTTTCCTCACCAGCTCCATCTCTTTGCCTAGTTCCTTTGTGATGCTGGGAAGATAGGGGGTGGATGAAGAGAAGCTAGCTTTGGGTACTTTTTCTAAAATTATTTGGCCTCCAGAGCCTGTGTAACCACCAGACTTTAGGATTATCAGACTAAGATGCCATTTCTGTGATTCTGGGTGAATTTTTGAAGCATTCAGAGAACAGAACATCTCCAAAACATCAACATTGATCACATGCAGGTAGACTACAACGCACAACACTGCTCTTAGTTAGATCTCTCTGGGGCAGTCTTCAGACATCTACCTTTCTCCTTTGGAAAGTTAAGATCAATGTGAGGATTTTCCATGAAGTTGGGCCAGGTTAGTGAAAACCAGCCTGAGATGGCAGTCTGTCAACATGGGAGGTGTGGTATGGTCTTTAGCTACTTGCTTCACAAGACTGGTATGTGTCCAAGAATGGGGATTTTTTTTTTGTAGTTTGCCTTTAAAGCATCAATCTAAACCCAAAGGTAGGTTTTGGAAGTTGTGTCTGTAGAACATAATTTTCCCTACTAAAATATTTGTGTCACCTGTCATTGCTTCCCAGAATGGGGGTACTTGTTCAATTCAATGTGTCCTGTGTGTTATTTGTTGTAAGGTACACAGGCTGGTAGGATAACTGTGGCGCAAGCAGGGCCTGCAAGCGGTTCAGCTACATCTCCTTCTAACTCTGTCCAGGTTCCTTTCTCTGGGCAATAGCAAATGGTCGATGACTTGTAGGCTCCCTGGAAAACAATAAGAAGATTTTACTGAAGCATGGCTGGAGAGAGGCACAAATCCAGGGTTATTTATTTCTGTGAATTCTAGAGAATTTATTCCCCTCTTTCATCCCAAAACACTTTTATGGAAGGAAGGGGTTTTTAGACCATTTTTTTTTAAAGGGAAACTTCCCCCAAAGATATCAAAATCTATTTTGGTGACTGTCACTAAAGTTAGTCCTGTATGAATGAGAAGTGGAAAATCGATCTGATTGTCCCTTAAGGAAAAAAAAACCCAACAATTTATACTTCTCTACCTCCTACAGTATAGGTACAATAAATGAGTGTTGACTTGATTTATCTATTCTGCTGCTCTGGCCTCACAGAGAACTTTGCATCTATTTCATATACCAATAGATTATTTTGTTATAGTTATCTGTCTATGTGTTATATTCCCCTTCTAGACTGTAAGCACAAGGAGGGCAGGCATTGTGTCAGCAAAACTTTCAAAAAAATCTCTCTTAATCTACTAGTCAAGCATTTATTAAGTTTTTACTGTGACAGACACTGGGCTAAGTGCTGCCCATGTCAAGAAAAAGTGAAACAGTCTCTGTCATTAAGGACCTTTTGTTCTAATGATGGAGACAATATATGTACGTGCATACATATATGTACACACATGTGCATATACACAACGCACATATGTGTGTAGGGTGTAACATACATGTGCACAATGGATTACACACATGCATATATGCATACATATATTTATATAGGCACACTTTCGGGTATATTCATATATGCAGGGCGCATACATGCATTAAACATATGCATTCCCAGGTACCTATGTATAAATACACATATGTATGTATATGAGTGAATATGCATATATTAATACTGTGATTCACAATGCACATATGTGCATGGGGCATATGCATGTGCATATATATGTGTACACACATGCACACAAGTGTATATGCATACATGCATATATATATGCCTAACATATGCTCGTATACTCATACCAATCTATATACAATGCACAATCTGTGTACATGCATATAGAATACAATGTATAGACACAGAGATGTGACATACATGTCCATGTGTGTACACAATACATATATGTGCTCTACATTATACACACCACATATAACTATACTATATATTGATACTATATATGTGTGTGTTTATATATATATATATACATATATATACATATATATATACACACATACATACATACACACATACGTACATATTATACATATACATGCTCTGTTCTCCCCCCCCCCCGCCCCCACATACACATGCTCGTGCACATGCAAGACAGTTTGGGGAAGGAATTCACTAGCAGATGGGGAAAAGCTTCATATAGAAAGTAGCACTAGAAATGAGTCCTGAAGGAATCTAAAGTTTCCAAAGCTGGAGGTGAGAAGGAAGTGCCTTCCAGGCCTGACGGCAAAGCCAGTGAAAACATTTGGGAGCAGGAGATGAAGGGTTGTGAGGGCACCAGCCAGTAAGCCAATATAGTTGGGTCACATAGAACAGAGAGGGGAGTGAAGCGTAGGAAGACTCCATGGGCCTCGGTACCTATCACAGTCCTCTGCATTACCCCTGGAGTTTAAGAAAAGTTTGCTTAAATGAACTGCTCAAATATTGAAATATTTATCCAGATAGTCAAGACCAAAAACATGTCTTTAAACATTCAAATGATTCAATTGAAAGTTGTTTTGGCTCTTGAATTATCTGAATACTTGCTTCAATTTTCTACTTGATTTTGCTCCCGTATCCTATAACTGCCTCAGAGCCTTAACCCCACAGAAGTATTTTGGCCAGATGGGGAAGGAGGGAATGGGGGAGAAGAGGGAGAAATTAACTGGAAGGGAAGTTCCTGTAGAAATGCTGAAAATGGAAAGGAAAAAACAAACAAATCTTCCAATCTTCCTCTAAGTCTATTCACATAGCCTAAAGGAGCCATCTAAACTAGGAAACAATATTGCTAGTTTTATTTGCCTTACCAGCCTTAGGAGTCAGACTACAAAATTTCCTTTCCTCCATATAGGACCTTCTTGTTTATTGATGGGACAGAGATGAGGAGTGGGAGTTATTTGATGAAAACACATCCCTAAGTTTTGTCCAGTTTGTTTCTACCCTGTCGTAAGCAGTTAATTATGTATACTTCCAGAGTTGGGCACATATAAATATCCAGTCATGTGTAAGCTTGGTGCATTTTCCTTGGCATAGCTAATGAAATTAAAAAATGGTGTATACACCCAACAAGAAAATTCCCTCTCAGATCATATTCTCATCAGACAAAAAAACCCATGAAAATAGAAATTGATATAACCAAAGAAACAACTAATGGCAACTCTGCAAAATGAACCTGTAAATCTAAATAAAGCAACCTAAAAATAATAAATAAATGAAGGCATGAGAGACTTCAGGCTAGAATGCTAACATCTAGGGGAACGAGCAGAAAATAAGCACTATTTCTGGTTGTAAGGGAAGGCGGTGAGGATGATGGCAAGAAGCAGACACATACCATACTCCAGCTGTAGCCTCCTACGAGATAAATGCTGTCCTCAAGAACGGCACAACCAGGGCCGCTTCGGCCTTCCAAAATGGGAGTCTGCAGAATATTCCATTGGTCACCCTTGGGATCATAGCATTCCACAAGCATGACATCAAGGTGGGAGAAACCTGAGTGATATAATGGGAGCCAGTTTTAAAGCCCAGCCTCTCTTTCAAATAAAACATGTATTAATGCTCTTCTGATTTTTATACCATAGCCATTTTCTGATATCATCCCCCCTTGCAATAAAGCAAAACAATTAAGCAAAAGCAAATAAAAGGATGACCTTATATGCAGGCATATAGAACATTCTGTTCCCATGGGCCCTCACCTTTACACTGATCAAGGGAAGTATACTTCATCATGGTTCTTTGAAATCAATATCAGTAACTAAAATTAATCTGAATTTGCCGACCTTTTAATGCTTTTTCTGTTGTGTTTTGTTCACATAATTGGAGTTTTTGTATGTGCATTGATATAATTTGTTTTGTCTTTGCAAGGCTGGGACTTCCTATCTTGCTTAGGCTGAAGGTGCAGAGGCCACTCACAGGCATCATCTTACTACTGATGGGCACAAGAGCCTTGACCAGCTCTGTTCCTGATCTGGGCGAGTTTGCTCCACTGTTGGCAGCCTAACGGCCCCTCCTCTCCTGAGGGCTCTCTGTATTCGTAATGCTGGCCGTAGCCTGATGGGTCTTAGAACCCTTTAGCTCACGGGATCCATCAGAGTCAGCCTCCTAAGTAGTAGGAGTGACAGAAGTATTCTTGGCCCTTGCGTATATTGCTGTCCTGGTTTTGTGTACTCTGCTTCAGTTCACACAATTGTTCTTCTTTCTTTCACTTCCTTATATCAACTGTTTCTTATGGAATGATAACATTCTTTTACATTCACATCCTATAATTTGTTTGATGAGGATCCATTTCTGATTTTTTCTAACTATAGAAAGGGATTCTGTGAATATTTTAGTAGAAATGGAATCCTTATTTCTTTGATTTGTTTGGATTATGTCCCAAGAAGTGGGAATGATAGATTAAAAGATATACATTATAGTGAATTTTTTGTTTAATTACAATTTCTTTCCCAGAACTACACTAATTAATTTATCTAGTAAACAGCTAAGAGTGTTCCTGTTTTCCAACAACCCTTCCAAAATTAGCAATTTCCATCTTTATTATTTTCACCTTTTTGATGAGTGTGCGGTGTTAAACCTAAGAACTGTTTTCATTTCTATTTTTCTCATCACTGGTGAGTTTGATAATTTTTCCATATGGTTATTGATAGCTTGCACTTCTTTTAAAAATTATTTCTTCATATCCCTTGACTATTTTCAGCTTGCAAATGAAAATCCAGAAATCTTTTTTTGAAAAGAATGCTGCCTCAATTTTACACTTAACCGGAACAGATGTGACTTGTAGTCAAGAAAGATTATGAAGGACAAGAATGCTAGAATGAATGGAAAACTGAGGAATAAACCCATTGAACAGGCCTAGTGGTCAATATAACTTAAAAGTGAAGAACTGTACATGTGAATCCCAAAACTCTTTATGTGAACAATCACAAGTACCCAAGTCACTAGAAGGAAAAAAAGGATCTCTGGAGAAGAGTCAGCCCTTAGTTTTGATACTAGGAGAAAAACAAATACACATCTGTAACCAGAGGTAATTTTCTAGTTATCACGCTCACGTTTTGTGATGTGATAGATTAGGACCTCCATTCAAATTCTACTTTTATAAGACCTCATGTTGTAGAGGTGATGCTGAGTTTTTGGAGATGCTGCTAATGGAATAAAAGCTCAGAAATATCCTACTGGGCTTTGAGTATGGCTTGGGCAATATATCTGTTTTCCAAAATTCAGCTTAGTTAGTTCACCATGGCTCATAACCATAAAGTTGCCCCCCCAAGTAATGAATTTTTCAGCCATAGAAACTCATGAAATTGTCTACTAAGGCATGGAAGGATTGTGATCTTACACCACTGACATGGGGGATGTGGCCATGGTAGAAGACCATGTCTAGAAAGGAGTGAGTAGGCCCCCTGAGTTATGAACTGCTGTCAGAATTGTACGGACATGAAGAATGCTTAGCACAGTGCCTGGCATACAGTAGGCACTTAATAAATGTTTATTGATTGGCTGAAATTAATTCATAGATTAGGAAGGCATTTCGGAAAGGCCATAGAAAGGTCATCATAACATTATCAGAATCTGTCAAAAGCCTTTCTAATAAATTTTAGCATCTACACAATGAAGTTGGATAAGATCAACGTACCAGAGACACTAGAATAAGAATTTTAGCGCCACAAATGAGCATTTGCTCTTAGTTACAGAAGAGAATCAGAGGTAAAAATAAATTCATTCTCACTACCTTCCCTTTCCCTCTATTCCTCAGTGTTAGCGTCTATATCCAGACTAAAGTTCAACATTTTCCAAACACTTTGTTCAGATGGCCAAAGTTGAATTTCAAAGGCAATATTGTTTATTATGTCCATACCTGAGTACCATAACATGGGACTCTAAATGATGGAGGAGGCCTGAAGACACTGGTGACAGCTGGTGGATTCCAGGGCCCATTTTCTGATGGTTGTCAAATGTTAGGATTGTTACTAACACTTCTGGTAGTCCCATGGAAAAGGGGGTTCCTATTGAAATTGTGACATTCCCTACAACCTGGCTCTATTAGGAGCTTCTGTTTGTCACGTTGGCTAGTCAATAGCTTCTGGTGAATGATGGATTGCCACTATCATTATTTATTTATTTAAGATCTGGGCATATGATTTCATTGGTATGGGGAATTCCTGAGAAGGAAGCTACCAGTAGATATAAGCAATTATTCTACAACTGATAGTCTTAAAGTTTCCTGGAGATATTAAGCGATTATTAATGCTAAAGATACTAAGATGTTAAAGATACCAGAGATACTAAGAGGTTAAATGACTCTGCAAATATAATATGGACACTGTATGTCAGAGATAGAACTTGAACTCAAATCTTCTCAACTCTGAGGTTGGTTCTCTATCCACGACCACAGGTGGCTTCATTGTCACTTAGCACATTGAAATTTTTGAGGGCAGAGAATTAACTGTTTAATGAAAGCTAAAGCTATTAGTATTTGGCACTTACAACAAACATGACAAATGAATAGAAATATTCTTGCTTTCCCAACATGATTGAGCAAAAGGACTTCAAGAGCTTTTTGTAAACCTAATGCTCATTCTCAAAGATGTGGAACCAGGATATTTTTGGCCACTTCCTTTTCATACAAAATGAACTGGACAGAAATATTTGATAATAGCAGTAGCAATTATATATATTTTATCTGTATATGTATGTCTACTATATGTTATATTACACAATAAACACAATATGATTACATGATTAATATACCATTATGTAATATTATACAATTATACATAAATACATGAGATATAGTTTATATTATATAAATAATTATATATTACACAATTGATACATTTATTTAATGTACATAAAATATAATATATATTAGACATATATATGAATATATATAACATATATACATACACATAGAGAGGCTTATTGGACAGAGGAAGAGCTGGCCTTGGAGCTAGGAAGCTCTGGGTTCAAGTGTATTCTCTGACATACACTGATTGTGTAACGCTAGCTAGGTCACTAAGCCTATTAGTTCCCCAGGCAATTTTCTAAGTTAAATTTATAACATGAATAAAAAAGCATTTAGTAGTCTCTAAAATAAGCTTAAGAATCACAGAGAGCATAAAGTGCTCAATAATGTTTAGAAAAAATTCTAATTTTTAATATCCAAACTGTAATTGATTTATTTTTAAAAACCCAAACCAGGAGTTAGCTTCTCTTTGAGGTTATGCCTAAAGTTCCTCTTGACTACATTTCCTAGAAAACAATTTATAGAAGAAAGCATCACTGGTAGTTTGGAGCTAAGGAATAATTTATTTCACTGAATTCAGGGTTATAAGAAATTGCTCTTGCTCTTGAGTTATGAAGGCTCCCATTTTATTATCTTTGGACTTCATTATTCATTTCTTTAATGTATGCAGTATTATCCTAAATTTAAAATAATCTTATCTGCATAAAAGACCCAATAAAGGTCTGCTCAAGGGTACTGCTAATTTGCACAAAGCAGATTTTATTTGGTCAACATGTTTTTTACTTGGTTGACTATGATTAGCTAATAAGCATCCCCTTAGCAAGAAGCATGACCTCAAATATTATTGTGATTAAAAATATGACCTTTCAAATGATTTCCTCCAATTGCATATAGCCGATCATTCATTACAGCCAAAGTGTGGATTGCTCGTTTTGTGTTCATATCTTGTTTTCGGGCCCAGACATCCATAACAGGGTCATAGCAGTACAGCCATGGGACGTACTCTCCGTTGTGAACGCCCCCTGTGAAATAAACACACGTGAAAATGAGGAGCGTGGCTGGCAGCCATTGTTAATAACAGAAAATGGATCAGGGACTTGCCTGAAATGTATATTTTCCCATTGTGCACGGCGCCTGCATGAGCTGCCAGAGGCTGGGGTAAAGAGGAAACATAACGCCACTCATTGGTTTCTAAGTTATAGCATTCCACGCTGGACAAGTATCCGGTTTCGTTCCTCCCACCAATAACATATAAGTGTTTATCCAGGCGACATGCGTAGAAACTGGCTCTCCTGTGGTAAAAGTAATAATCCACAGAAAGTGATTAGTGCAATGGAGAAATCTTATTTGAAAAATTATGTGGACCAATCAGCTAAGTCAGATGAGAGAAGCCCCATCAGAGAGGGCCCCAAACTTTTGGGACTATACACACATATACATATTAAATACCATGACTTTTGTAGCCATCATATGGATATTCTGAATATAATTTAAAATTCTGATTTTAATTTCATCTAAATTCTATCTAAAGGGAAGCAGAATGGTATAGGGGATAGAAAGTTAGTCTCAAAGCTAGTAAATCCTGGGTCCAAGTATGTCCTCTCATACATCCTGGCTGTAGGACCATGGGTAAGTTACTTAACTTCTCAGTGTTTTAGGCCTTTCCAGGTTCATCACCCCTACTACCCACCTATCCGTGACCCTTCCTCAGAAATTACCTTCCATGAACTCTGTATACATCCTTTAGGTATATAGTCATTTGCATGCATCTTCTTCATTGGAACATGAACATCTTAAGGGCAAGGCAGTGTTTTTCCCTCTCTTTATATCCCCTTCTCTTTTAGCACTGGCTGACTCTAAGTTGCAGAGAGAGGTGGTGACCTGCATTGGTAGAGGGGGTTTTCTCACCCAGGAGTTCCCTTTACCAATAAAATCACAAATCCAATTTCTATCTCTCTTCACCTAAAGAGAAATCTACATGCTGTTGGTTTCAGCTATTTTTTATGCTCTGGAAGGAGAAAAAGGTATTCATTAATGTTTGGGGCACTTGGTACCTTGCATGAATTTCAGAGCTCAGGAAGACAAAGTGAAAAATGAGGCAGATAATGTAACAATAATAAATTATCTTGACATTCACTTTCTTTATGGTCCTTCAAGGGTCATTGTTCCCAATTTACTAGGAGAACCACATCATCAAAATTTTTCTTCAATTATCATTTTCTTATTTTTTTCCCCCTGTGCAGTACTGCAAATAGAACAACTTGCCTTAAGTTGTTCTCTTAAGTGAACCTAATGCTTTAAATCCTGCCCCTTTGCTCCAAAGGCATTTCATCTGAGGGCCAACTTCCACAAGTAACTCAGGACTAATATCAGGGTCTCTTCTCAAGACCTGCTATTAACTAGACTTACTGCGTTATGTTTTCAAAGGCAAGGTGAAATCAAGGGTTGATTAATTCTCTGGACGATATTAAGCCAGACTAAATAATCCACTCTTCACCAAATACTTCTTTTTCTTTCATGGTGGAGCTTTTGACTCAACATTATCTAGGGAGTCACTTCCACCCTTCATAGACTATTGTTTTTTGAGACGTCCCTCTTGCCTGAGGATGACATTTGTTCCTGAAAATAAACATGTATGTGCATGTGTGTGTGTGTGTGTGTGTGTGTGTGTGTGTGTAACCCTTAGACTTACTGAGGTTGTCTGACCTTGACACCAACTTGATTTAAGACTGTATATTCAAGCACACAGGTGGCAGAAGCAGCAGCCAGGTGAACTGCCCTCTGTCCTAGGAACAATAAATTCATGGGAAACAGAACAGGACCAGCTTGAATAGGTACCTTTTGTTTCTAAGATGTAAACTGTATGTTTCTAAGATGTAAGATGGATCCCTTGACCCATCCCTGATTTCTAACACATAGCCTGTCCTTCTTAGGAGCAGGATACTGGATTTAGGAGGAAGATGGAACTTAGGATACAAGAGAAGAGGACTTGCTGAATCCATGACTGCTTTATACTTTAGTTGTATGGCATGGGTGTGGTTGGCCTTATGTTACAGGAGAAGAGGACCTAACTTGGAATTATAAAAGCAAAATAAAGTCAATTCAAGTTAATAAACACTATGATATGATAGTTTTTTAAAAAAGGCTAATGTTATAATAGTCATGATGTTCTAGCCTAGGAAGATGGTATTCTCATTGTATTCCCCCCTAGTCAGATGCCAGTTGGAGCACTATGCCAAGTACTGGCCCTTAAATGTGGGGAAGTTACTGATAAGCTGGAGAATGTCCAGAGAAGGGCAACCAGGATGCTGAAGATTCTCCAGACCGTGTCACATAAGGATAGGTGGACGGAATTGGGAGGAGGGAAGGCATGGGGAGAGAGGATATTTTCAAATTACCCTCAAATATTTGAAAGACTATCCCATGGAAGAGGTATGGACTTGTTCTTGTCTTCAAGGAGCAGAACGAAGCAGAATGTGCAGATTTAGGACTAACGTAAAGAGAAAATTCCTGACTCCAGGCACTTCATTGGCTCTCCTCCATTCCTGGAATGCTCTGCCTACTGGTTTCCTTTAGGTCCCAGCTAAAATCCCACCTTCTACAGGAAGCCTTTCCTTAAATCTCTCAATTCTAGTGCCTTCCCTCTGCTGATTATCCCCCAATTTATCCTTTATATAGCTTGTTTGAATATAGTTGTCTACATGTTGTTTCCTCCATTAAATAGTGAGCTCCTGGAGAGCAGGGACTATCTATTACCTTTCTTGTATCCTGGGCACTTAGAGTGCCTGGTGTATAGTAGGTACTTAATAAATGTATACTGATTCACTGCCATTTAAAGCTATCCAAAAAGCATCCTTTTCAGCTCTTGAGCCATGATCCTAGGTACAAACAGAATGGATGTTTCTGGAGGTAAATAGTTTCCCTTCCTTAGAGGCCCTCGAGCAAAGGCTGGATGGCAGGTATGTTGAGGAAGGGATTTTTGGTCAATCATGGGTTCACCAGGTGGATACTGAGGTCCTTTCCCACTCTGAGATTGTATAATTTTGTAATTCTGTTATGTATCAGTGGAGGGGGAATTCATTATGTTTTTTTCTGGTCTCCTTCCAAAGTTCTTCACTCAAGTTCAGTCCTTTTATCTTTGAATTTATTTTACAATAAATAAAAACACATCTCCAGTACTTCAAAATTTACTAAGTGCTTTCTTCACAATAACTGTATAAGATAGTTTTGCAATTCTAAGTATTACTATTCATATGTTATGGATAAGGAAACCAGGTATAAAGGACTGAAGTAACTTATCCAGGATCCGAGGCAAAACTTGAATTCTAGTCTCCTGAACCTAAGATTTGTATGCTTTCAACATACCATGCTTCCCCTGCTCTTAGAAAGAGCAAAAGCTGAGCTAGCTTCCAGCTGCTGGCTATCTCAGTGGCACAGGTGAAGGCAACATTGCCTCAAAGTGTGTCACTGCTACACTATATGGGAAAGAGCTTACCTTCTTCTAACATGAGGTTTCGTTGTTATTCAGTCATTTTTAGACATGTCAGCCTCTTCGTGACCCATTTGGATTTTTTTTTGGTAAAGATACTGAAGTGGTTTGCCATTTCCTTCTCTACCTCATTTCACAGATGAGGAAACAGACAAATAGGGTTAAGTAACTTGCCCAGGGTCACACAGCTAGCGTCTGAGGCTGGATTTGAACTCAGGATGAGTCTTCCTAACTCCAGGCCTGGCACTCTATCCACTGTGCCACATAGCTGCCCCTGGCTGGTGACTTATTTTCCATGACTCAGACTTTAACCCTAAAAGTCAGTTTCCTCCTCAGGAATGTGAGGGAGATGGGCTAAATAATGCCCAAGTATCCTTTTAGCTCTGCATTGTATGACAACTTAACTATCTCTTCCAGATAAGTCTTCCAACATGACTTTTGTGTGACGAACTCTGATCTCCTGCCTGTTTTTGTACTGTGGCTTTGAGCAAGTTGATTACCCCTTTATATTTCTCTGAGGGCATGACACACCTTTAAAGGACCCTGTATTACCTGATTTCTTAAGGAGTATGATATATGTGATCAGTTGGAAGCCCCATACAGAGCAGAAATAGCAGCATCAGCATCTCCCCCTTTTTGGAGACGGAGATTGTTTTTAGAACAACTCTCTAACAAAAAAAACCCTCCATTTCTCAGGGAAGCAAAGTCTTTGCAGGTCAAGTTTGAAGAATTATTATTATTTCTTTAACACTTCCACATAAAGGTGGATTTATACATCTGTGGACTCTAATGAATGGTGACACTGCTTAGTAATTTATAAACAATCTCAGCTTCAGAAGGACACCAAGCCCTACATAAAAGCCCTACTCATCATTACAAATTTTCACTTTCCATAGAAACCCATCTTTATTTCCTTAAGGAACAAAGACATTCCTTAAGGAACGAAAACAAGTCTAGCTTACAAGAAAAAAAATAATAAAGCAACACACTTAAGCAAGAACTAGTAGCAAGGACAGGAGTCTGGACTCAAAAACAAAAAAATAAAAGCTTCCCTTCCTCCATTAATGACCGTTTGAGCACATAACAGTTTAGGGCTCTACTGAGTGGTATCTATACTGTTTCAAAATCTGAAGGAAAAGTCCATGGAGTCATCCAGATGTGCCATATTGGGTACACATCCAGACGTTTATGGAAAACATGCAGACTAACTGAATTTTTTACTCTTCTTCTAGATATTTTACCACCTTACACAGTTAGTCTCATTCCTTAAAACAAGAAGGGCAATTATATTCTGATTGGGAACTTTGAATTTCTTATTCATTGCTGGCACGAAAATTTTAAGGGGTGATTTCTCCTGGTGGGAAATGGCAAAGTCAGGGAATGTTGATTTGAGTTGCCGCTAACTACCTGTGTGACCTTGAGTAGGTTAGTCAGGCTAACCTCTTAGGTCGTTTTCAGCTTTAAATCCTATGTACCAACTATTGGGTCATTATTTTCTATATATAGTAATCATTTATAGGGTTTTTCCCTGTCAGTCTGGAATTGGTCTGTGTGCATGGGGAGGAAGGGCACTTAATTGTCTTAAAAAAAATCATGGCTTCATTGGTACTTGGCTGCATTCTATCTCTATTAGTAGAATGCAAAGTTCTTCAGGGCAGGAACTATTTACTTTGCTCTTTGTAATTCCCAGCTTCTCACAAAAGACCTGGCATATAGTAGGCGCGTAAAAAATACTTGCTGACTGACTGGGACATTAATTGATTAATAATGATGACAATGATTTAGAAAATAATTCCTGTTAAC